GAAATGACCGTGTGAAGAGAAATTGATAAATGAGCATGTGAGAAGGAATTGATGAATGACCGTGTGAAGAGGAATTGATGAATGATCGCGTGAAGAGGAATTGATAAATGAGGATGTGAGGAGGAACTGATAAATGACCGTTTGTAGTGTAATTGATGAATGACCGTGTGAAGAGGAATTGATAATAACCGTGTGAAGAGAATTAATAAACGAGCATGTGAGGAAGAATTGAAAAACGATCGTGTGAGGAGGAATTGATAAATGACCGTGTGAAGTGGAATTGATAAATGATCGTGTGAAGAGGAATTGATAAACGATCGTGTGAGTAGGAATTGATAATTACCGAGTGAAGAGGAATTGATAAATGACCGTGTGAAGAGGAATTGATAAACGATCGTGTGAGTAGGAATTGATAACGATCGTGTGAGTAGGAATTGATAAATGACCGTGTGTAGAGAAATTGATGAATGACCGTGTGAAGAGGAATTGATAAATGACCGTGTGAAGAGAATTAATAAATGAGCATGTGAGGAGGAATTGAAAAACGATCGTGTGAGGAGGAATTGATAAATGTCCGTGTGAAGAGAAATTGATAAATGAGCATGTGTGGAGGAATTGATGAATGACCGTGTGAGGAGGAATTGATAAATGATCGTGTGAAGAGAAATTGATAAACTACCGTGCGAAGGGGAATTGATAAACGACCGTGTGAAGAGGAATTGATAAATGACCATGTGAGGACGAATTGAATAACGATCGTTTAATGTAGAATTGCAAAATTTTTTAGGAGAGGATATTGTAAAAAGTAGAAATAATCAAATTTATACTTTAGTATCAAGCTCTGGTTATATTTTTTCGACGCTTCATCTATTCATAATAATGTTTCAAATATTAAACAAATTAACCAGAATATGCAATCAATGCCATTTATCGCCTTCATAATCCCAATTAATTCCTCCGCATTTAAATAGATTACACCATTTATTCATCTTCACTCTATTCAAAAAAAAATTATATTTCTCTATTTCTTCTAAACTTGATATAATCCAATGATAAATGATGAACATTTATGTATTTATATATTGTAAAATAAAAATCAAAAATACCAACCAAAATATCGAGAAAAAAATTATAGTAATTAAAATTATTTCGTGTTATCGTTCAAACTATAAAAACGCACCAAAAAATAAAAAAAACGATAAATTTTTTAAAAATGTACTAAAAGATACCTTTAAAAAAAATTTAACTTTTCGAAAAATATTCAAATTAAAAAAATCTTTAAATATAGCATAAAATAAAAAGAAACGTTTCGTAAATTAATAAAATGAAATTGCGATTAATAATTTTACGAATATTATAGCGAACGTAATTCGCGGCAAGACATTGGGTCGATTGTTATTGTACGTGTATCGATTGAACCCAGTCGATTTCCGTACACGAAACGGGACAGACGTGTTCTTTTCTCTTTTCCGAATAAGCGTTTTATCGATATACGATATATTCGATAAAAAAAATATTAAAATGTAAATGAGTGTTAAATAAATGAGATGATATCGAAGAGTGAAAATACGAGTAAATTATAAATACGTGAATTGAGAAAATCAACGATTAAATGTTTGTCGAATACAAGGATACGAAAATAAAGAATGAAACGAGTAAAATTTAAATATATAAAAAAAATAATATTAATAATAATCTTCCGAGTGATAAATGACATCTAAAAAAGAAAAAGAAAAAAATATATATAATAATTAAAATCGATAAATGAAATATAAATTTCGAATCATCCGATTTCTTTTTTTAATTTCATTTTCGATATATATATATTTTTTCTTTTTCTTTTTCTCTTACATTTCCAATATTAAAGTATCATTAAAATTAAATTACCGAATTAAAATACCGTTTAATCGTAATTAACCGTATTAATCGTATAAGTCATAAATCGAATCTAAAATAATAAAAATTAGAAAAAACGTATAAAACTAACTCGAATAATCGTACGGAAAATAATCGTAAATAACGTATAAATACGTTTTCGAGAAAGAAAGAAAAAGAAATACGATAAACGATAAAGAAGAATAAAAAAAAAAAAAGAGTAAAATGATCCGATCGCGTAATTGTATCGTTATCGTTTTTCCTTCCTTTCTTTTTATTTAAAACGATGAAATAATGATATAACGTTCATCCGTAAACGATAATTTAGAATTTAGAAAAAAAAAAAAAAAAAAAAGAAAAAGAAAAGAAAAAAAAATTTAAAATTTTTTCGTCTTTAGTCTCGAGTGTTGTAATATAATATTAATTCGTATAATTAGAATGGATTAAAATTCGTTTAAAAAATTAAAATAAAAAAACCAAAATGATCTGTATACGTACATATATCTTTGATACGAACTGAATAAAAAATTCGCGATAAAATACTAGTCGATACTTTCGATATTCGTTCGAGGTTTAATTTGAAATAATATTACCACCTTTTAATTTTAAGCATCGCGGATTGTATACGCGTTACTGTAAGCAACTATTCAACTATTTGCTTACTTATTTTTTACTTATATAGTTTTCGTTTGTTTTATTTATACCCTCTATATTTGTCATATATGTTTTATCTCTAATATCTAAACGCGATTTGCGAGAAATTATTTATTTATTTATTGTGATTTAATTGAATTGATTTTCTCTTTTAATATATTGAAACTCGTAGTTGATCAAATTTTATTTATTAATTTAACGTTACGTTGAACGATAAATGTAATGAAATAATTGCGAAATTTAATATCGAGAAAATTTTCCAATATTCGACGAATTTGTTATATTGATCTGTTGATGATGATAATTTTTTTTATAAAAATTAATAATTTCATCCAATATTTTCTTGTATTCTTCTTTTTTTTAACGCGATACGTTTTTAACGTATTAAATCTTTTTTGATAATGCGATCAATTTGACGAGAAATAATAAATTATTACGGAAGAAAGTTACTGTCGATACGCTTCATTGATTACCAGAAAAGAAAACAAATATCAAAAACATTTCGTACGTACTTTCACATTCCTGTCCTCGTATACGAATGATATCGACGCGATATATCGTTTGCTAAGAAAAATTTCCAAAGTATCGTTTTGAAAGAAAAATATGAAAAAATGTCATTGTTTCTATCTTGATATAAACTCGTTTCCCGTTCGTATCTCTCGTAGCGAATAATTATTCGTAATAATATGAATTTATTCTCGTATCATCGTTTTTCGTTTCGAGTCGAGATAGGTATTGGAAGACAAATCCAGCAAGATGTGAATAAGATAAAATAAAATTTTTTATTTATGAACAATGTCGATTGTCCTAACATTCGTGATTATACGTTGAACGAAGATGATATGATTTTAAAACGATGCAGAGATCCCGATGCGGGACATATAAATATGATACATTTTTTATGGTTTCTTATCGTCGTCTTTGTACCAATCCTCGCTATAAAAATATAAATATTCGTAATTATTTCCTTTATTTATTTTTAATTTTTATTTATTTTTATTTTATTTTCTCTCTATACCAGCCGGGAACATTTTCCGGTGCATCGCATCTTTGCTGTTCCTCGTTATAAACGGTCCCATCGCTACAACCTTGTTCTCGTGGTGTTACTCCGTTCAAACAGACATAAAACTTCTGACAGTCATCCGGATGAGCGAATTTCGGATGATCAACGACCATTCCTCTTGTGTCCACTTGACTTTCTCTTGGACATTCGAACCCGTCTTTCAACTTTTTGTCTACTACTCCGCATCCCTGTCGAAGAAGAAATGGAATTTAATGCGAATGTATCGTCCATATTTTGTTCCGTTAATTTCTGTATATATATATATATATATATATATATATATATATATATATATAATATATATATATATATATATATATATATATATA